TTGAACAGCATGCTAATGAACTGAAATAGATTTGACTCAAAACTGTGAAAGGGACCTTGGACAACTCTTGAGTATACAGACAGCACAAAGCCTGAAGAATTCCAGAGATGTGCACAAGATTCCATGGCTACTTAGTGCCCTTTTACCAGATCTTCTGATGGCAAGTTCAGTACTCATTCCAGTGCTACATCATCTGCATCTCCAGCCCATGTCCATGGGACCTAGCAGAACTAGTTGGGTATTTTGTCATTCTTCATTTGTTGTTAAATTATGAATGAATGTTAGCTTTTTGCAGAAATTACTGATAAATCTATATTTTTATTTTTTATTCCATTGGTACAGTGTATTATAAAAATTAATTTTGGAATGTTAAGCTAACTTTGTATATCTGATAATTCCCATTTGGTTATAGCATACATGGTTTCTTATATGCTGCTGAATTCACTTTTCTAACATTTTGTTTAGATTTTTGTATGTATATTCTTTAGGGATTTTGGTTTAGGTATACTTTTATTTTGCTTTCTGTCTAGTTTGATAACCCTAACCCTAAACCTCACAGACTGAGTTAGTGAACTGTGCTACTAAGATACATATCTTGGTTCCTCTCTCATAGCAGGTCATAGAAATTAGAATTTATTTTCCCCAAAGTGGTTCATAAAAACTCTAAACTTTCCACTTCCCTTCTGTCTTGGTGCTTGCCATAGAGAAATTTTGTATCCCTCATTTTGATGTCATAAAACCCTCCTCACTTCAGAGAGATCCTGCCCCATACCCTGAAAGGAGGTTGCACAGAGAGACCAAGAAGAATGCTGAAGCAAACAGGTCTTGTTGGGTTTCTCCACCCAGTCTGTAACTTTGGTTCATAGCCTTTCTGACGAATCATATTCTGACACAATTATGCACACTGCAGTCATACCCATGCAATGATGTCTCCATAAAAATTCAAAAGCACAGAATCTAGTGAGCTTCCACATAGCAGAAAACATGGTGGTCCCTGGTGGGTGGTAGTTCTAGGAGGCCATGGAAGATACACAGACCTTCCCTGGACCTTGCCCCATGCATCTTTTCATGTGTATCCTTTGCAGTAAGCCACTTTGTCTGAGTTTTATGAGCTGTTCAAGTAAATGAATTGAACCAATGATTTTTGTTTTTTGTTTTATTTTGCATTGCTGGAGATTGAACATAGGAACTCCTGAATGCTGGAAAAGCTTTCTCCAGCCCAGATCTTGTGTACTTTTCCTGTTCTGCTTTGTTCCATTCGCCTCCTTCATGTTCTTATTGCCAAATACAATCATGAGTCACTTAGTACCGGGGCTATGTTCTGAGAAATACTTTGCTAGGTAAATTAATCATTACGTGACTATCACAGAGAGTACTTCTACAAACTAACATGGCTGTGAAGTCATTGGACAATGTAACTTCGAGGGACCATTACAGTACATGCTGAATTTGAAAGTTGATGGGGCACATGACTGTATTTCCATGTGTTATAGGAGTGCCAGTATATAAATACATACTGTTTTGTGAAATTGCCATTTTTGTTGTTATGGTTTTTGGTTTTTTTGAGATAGTGTCTCACCATGTCATTCAGGTGGCTTTGACCTCACTGTGTATGTCAGGATGGCCTCAAACTCACAATGATCCTCCTGCCTCAGCCTCCTGAGTGCAGGAGTTCAGGCATGCTCCATGAGGCCTGGCTATCAAAGTGATATTTAAAAATCAGTCAAGAGAAGAAAGATAGCTTAGTGTGGTGGCACAAGCCTATAATCCCAGTACTCTGGGAGGCTGAGGCTAGAGGGTTCCAAGTTCAGGGCCACCCTGTGATTTCATGACATAATGAGAGCCTATCTCAAAAAAGAAGAGGCAGGGTGCTGGGAATGTAGCTCAGTATGGAGTCTGTGAGTTCAATCCCCAATATGGAGGGGAGAAGAGTGGTGAAGAAAGGTGAAAAAAATATGCAGTTGTGAAGTTATCACTACCTATGTAATTTCCTTTATTGGGGTTAATGTCCCTGATCTGAGTTTTCCCTTTTATCTTTTGGCTACACAGAGGTCCCTCTGGATCTGATACTCACTTATTGTTCAAATGTTGTGCTGAATTTCCTTTGTCAGTCTTTTACCTTTTACTATTGTGTATGGAGCTTGGAATTCATGATCACACTTCAGGGAACTAATATTCGGCTCTACATTCATCTAGAAACACAAAGCCTGGAGCTCCCTCACTGATCACTCCAAAGAGGGCTCGGCCCTGGACGGCACTTAGTGTTCCTGACTACAAGAATGAGTGTGATTTTAGTGTTATGAGGCTTCCTGGGATTTGCTTTTGGCTTACAATATCTTATTTTTTAGCCAGTGTTTGCTAAGGGGCTGTGATGAGCGCCTGGTGCCAGGAGGCTCCTGTGTTCCCTGGACCAGTGTGGGTGCAACTCAGGATTGTTTCAGGACCACCCCACATTCTACTGGGCTGGGCGTGGGATCGGTGTGGCCTAGTGCACTTCCAGATCCCAGACTGTGATCTTAGAGATGCTTTTCTTGGTCTTCTGGGCTCTCTCTGGTTCTGTTAACTTCAGGCTGCTATGCAGTTTCCCCTGCACATTTGGCTGTTAGCCTCCTTTACTTCTCTTAACAATGGTCTCTACTGTGTTCAAAGACACCCTCCTGGCACAGGCACAGCCGCAGATCTCTTTCCCCTGGACAAGGCCCTGGTCCCCACACTGGACCTGAAGGTGGGACCCTCATTGGGAATGATGCTTGGGCTCTACAAGTGGGCTCTGGGGAGGGTGAGGGGCAGCCCCGCGGTCTTGGCTTTCCTCTCCTGGCATGAAATCTCTGCCCTGTGTGAAAGCTGAGCAGGTGTAACCAGTTCCAGATTCTTGGTCCTTCGTGGAGCCTCCACCTTGTAAGTGGAAAGGGAATATAATCCTCCAAGCCAGTCAAGTATCAAGCACAAAATAAACCTAAGCAATTTGTCCTGTTCCATGTACACCAAACTAGTGAGCAAGATTTTTTTATTTCTCATGAGTGAAACCTGAGTTCCTTTTCTTAGTCTCACCTTAGTAAAACATTCAGAGAAATGTTTAAGTGCCCCTAAAAAATGTTAAAAGTTTTCACAAATCAAACAAATTTCCAAATTGTATTTATATGAAAAAATGTGTGACTACCCTGAAACATTTGAAGGTGCATAATTTACTTTAAATTTCAAATTTAGGACAATAATTCTATAATACAATTTTTGTATAAGCCAGTCAGGCAAAAAATTTAAAACTGGGAGAAGTATGTTTACAAGGTTTGGGACCCTTCAGTCATACTCCGTTAAATCACCCAGTCTCTCTACGGTATGCACTAACCCAGTGGAAATTCTTAAGACTAGGGGTCCCAAGCTCTCTCTTCCCATTTTGTTACCCACATATTCACATACCAGTTTCATAATTTCCACCATACCTTCATGAGTTGTATGTATTTATATAGTATCTATACTCACACAACATTTTTCTTGCTAATATATTTTAAACTACCTCTTTTTAGGGCTAGGGTTACAGCTCAGTGGTGGAACACTTGTTTAGCACACAAGAGGCCCTAGGCTTACCCCCAGCACCAAAATAATAAATATAAATAAATCGTGCCCCTTTTCAAATGTACTCATTTTAAAAGCAGACATTTTATCACACGTGCAATTAGATAAAAGCTGATAAAATTGTAGCTAGGTACTGTTAAAGGTTCTGAGCTTGTAGGCTGCCTTCTCTGTTAAAAAGAGAATTGTGAAATACAGTGAGATAAGCTCTATTTAATCATTGTTTACTGTCACAAGCACCATACATGGTGTCCCATTTAATAGTCATACTAGCTGTATAAAGTAGACTCCTTCCACTGTTTTACACAGAGGGAAACTGAGGCACAAGATAACAAGATGGAAGAGTCAGGATTTACAGAGGCTTCATGCAGCCAGTGCTGTTAATTGCCAAATTTGCCATCAACATGGAAGTGATTCTATTGCACTCAGACTACCTTAGGTGCTTGCGGGCGGCCACATTGGCAGCACACATCTGTCTGCACTTGGGAAACACTAGTCTTGGGAGATGTCTGCAGACAACCCTTGGAAAAGGCTTCCTTTCATACTCAGACCTATGCTGCACATTCTGTGCCCCTTTTACAGACTCTTACTTTATATTGACATCTAAAGGGGACTCAGAGTTCGGTAGAAAACACTCCTCAACTTGATTTAACACAGCATTTCGCAAGCTTACTGGATCTCAGAACACTTGTAAAGGGCGGTATGTTTCAGCCATGTTTGAATTCAGGGTACTCGATGTCTTCAGCTACCTTTTTAGGAGTCTTGCAACAGGGCCCTGCCAAGTCTGAGGCTGCCCTTTCTTTTCTGGTTCAGAGCCTCAGGGGCTCAAGGCATAGCTTGTCTGGTCTTGGTCTTTCCCTCAAAGACTGCCACCTCTGTAAGAAGCAGGTTCAATCTTTTCCTCTCCAAATACTCACAGCTCAGCTGCCCTTTTCTGAAAACCTGAAGGAACAGAACCTCTGACAGGTCCCTACCAGAGGGCTCTGGGGCAACACCTCTAAAGCTATGACAGGAGTCCTGTGAAGAGCCCTCAGAAGACAGAGCAGGAAAGGGAACAGCTAAACCTATCATAAATTCACAAGCTTTGATTTAGGAACATAGTGGGTCATTGAATAAATGATCTGATTTAGACACAGTCCATGTTGGACTGGGGATGCTGCTCAGAGTTAGAGCACTTTCTCAACACGTTCAAGACCCTGGGCACAAACCCCAGCCCCAAGAGACAGAGCCAGTGTTTCAGAGCACAGTTTTAAAACTAGGATTCTTGAGTCTTCACCTTGGGGACTTAATCCACAAACAGACGAGAACAGGGACCCCCAACTCCCATATCTCAAACTTAATTAAAAATATAAAAGTTATTCCTAAAAGGATAAAGCTGAAACTAAAAACAAAAACAGAAATAACTAAACTCTAAGAGTATTATTGCTTAGCCATTTCTTGCATTTTTATTGAATTTTTTTCTTTTTTAAAAAAGTCTGGTTATGACAACAAACTGGGAAACTACAATTACAATTCACAGATTGTGGCACAAAAAAACACACACCATCAGGAATCACATCAGTCCCTTTCCTCTTTATTCATTCAAAAAAAGAGTCCAATGCACAAGCATCAAATATGATCACTGTCATTTGCTTTTTTTCTTAGAAGGGGGGAAAACATTTATTCTGGGCAGCACTTTTACAATTCTAGGAAGTGGCTTTTACACCACTAGTTGCAGGAATAGAAACCATAACAAACTTGGAGGGCATTTGTTTGAGAGGCAAGGGACTCCTTGGCCGGTAAAAAATTCTTCTTGTGCTTAGTGAACTGCTTGTCAGCCTCAGCTAGCTGGTTGTTGAGTCTTCTCGGAGGTTGAAAGAGAAAATGGAATTTCCTACATAGATGGCAAAAACTGCTTCAGAGAAGAGTATTTCTGTTTCTCCACTCTCTCCCCATGCTTTTCCAGAGCTTACTGTGGTCACAGGACCCTCTATCATGCCCACCCTTATGTCAAAACACACTCGACACCAAGCTTACCTCTTACACTGCTTCTCCAGGGTTCAGATGACAGCACAAAACATCACATGTGAAAAAATAGCAAACACTTTGCAGGATATATCACCCAAAGGGGCATAATTTCATTTAATATGGTCTTCAAGGAGGGAGCCCAAAGCCACCATTTGAATGCCTTTGTCCAAAGACTGGTCAGAACTGGTTGATGTAAGGAACTGTCTCATGCCGATTAAAAAATTCTTATTGCCTAACAATTCAGTGGTCCATAAAGCAATTAAATGTTAACATTCAGTTTCCATTTAGACTTACACACATACACACACACACACACACACTCACGAGAACTGTGACAAAAGGATTAACCAGATTAACCTTGTGACTGTGTGCTAAAAGGAAGATGAAATCTCAAACTAGAGGGTCATATTCAAGTATTAAAAACAGAAAAATAGTCTGATCCCATGTGATTTTAAGGACATAGGAAATCATACTCGTGTAACTGGGACTCGAATTAGTGAAGTTAACTCCTGGGGCACAAAGTATTCAACAAAAATCAACTGAGAGTTCTCAAAATCCATCCATTTATATTATTTTAAAAATAGGTGGAGACTTTGTGTCTTGTGGCATTCCAAGAGTCAATATTTTGTAATGAAGTGAAAGAGTAATACCAGTAGTGTCCCTTTTCTTGTTTCACACTGGTGAGAAATTGTTGGTCTTGCATATTTTCTATCTACATGTAGAGGAGGCAGATGTAAACAGTCTTCACATTCTTCAAAGAATGTGTTACTTCTACAGCAGATGCTGTTTAGCCTCAAGTAGGAGAATGAAGAACAATTTGTTGGATTTGCTTTTTAAGTTTTACTTCCCGAAGATTTCAAAACAGGGGTTTTACCAGTTCTTGGCAATAAATTGTGTAATAAGAGATTCTGTATGAATAAATGGCCAGTGTGGGACTGGGCTCCCCCCCCAGGCAGCTTTCTACCTGAAGGTTCCACAGCTAGGCATGGAGGGTTCACAAAGCATTCTGTTCTAGAAAGGAAAAGTACGTATTAGCAGAGCGCCCAGCATGACTCAGAATTGACTTTCGATTATCATCAGTATTCAGACTTGGGTTTTTCATGAACTTTTTGTCCCCTGTGGCCCCCAAAAGTGCCCTGTCTTTGTCTCACACTAATGATATGTGGGGATAAAATGGAAATAATCCTGCCATTATGTCCACTAACTTACAGGCAGGACCCTTCAGAGAGAGACTGGAGGGGCACATGACGCACATGTAGAAGGATCTTGCTGATTACTGGCAACCTCTATGAATCAACATTAAATCCATGGGCTGACTGTTATCTTTTGTCTTTTTAAACTCAGAAGGCAGATTAAAGAATAAAGAAAGAATAAAAAGTGTCTTACACTAAAATAAGAAATCAGCCCCATCTTGGCACAGTTCTCAAGCAAAATATTGCACCCAGTGTTAACTGATGCTAGAAGCTTCAAACTGTATAAATTTAAAGGTATTTGCATATTATAAAAATAAAGATAAACATATACATATCTTACACTAGTTACGGAACAGCAATGAACGTCAGTCGATCCCTCTTTCACATTAAACAGAACTGAAACCGAAGTGCCCTAAATACTGCCTCCTGAACTGTAACTATGGCTTGTATGTGCACAGAAAACAAAATCCCTGAGAAGCCATTCGACTCTTCTTCAAGTAGCGCTCTCCTTATAGGATCACAGTTCTGAGGTTCAGTTTGTGAAACGTTTGCTCCATGTTCTCTCCCATCCTTCCTGTGCCCCTCAACGTGGTCTCAGAGCAGCCGGGGTGCATCGTCACTGGGCTCACCGCGCATGCTCGGGACCTGGAGGGCGTGCCACGTACAGAAGATGGTCCCAGTGGGCTCCACTGCTCTGTTTTCTTCATGGAAAGCCTACACCCAGAAAAGTCACTGGTTTCTGTGCTTTTCACCAACATTCTTCCTAGATGGGTAGATGAAAAGAAAGCACAGATATGACAAAAGTATGTCAGAGAATGACAGTCTTTTTTGTATTTAAAAGGTGACTTCCTTATTAGTACATGTACGCCGTGCACAATGATTATACCCATCATGGGGAGTTGGTACACGTACAGGACATGTCTTAGTTCTTTTTTTCATCCAGAGGATAACAGTCTTACTTGTTTAAAAAAAAAAAAAGGAGTAAAAGATTTTCATTTCTACTTCTAGAACTGATGGTCACTCTAGTATCCACAAGGGAGAGTCTGTTTAGTGTTTGTGATGTTAAGCTCAGGTCAGCTATAAAGCCAAAATGATGCCAATTGATTGTTACCACTTACTCAATTCTAATGTTCCATCTTAACTACAGTTCTAATTAACAGCCCCACAGTCTAAACACAGAAATGCTTCATTTCAATAAACACACGTGGACACATAGTACATAGCCCTCCAGGAGTAGAAATACATGCAGAGAGTAGAAAGGATGTCTGTCAGGACTAAAAAGCATGGTTTTACTTGAAGTGTTACAAGTGGGGCAGTTGACTGGAATATAGAACTTGAAGACTATACAGTGAAGAAACTGCTGCATCCTCGGCTAATTAAACAAAGTAGCATTCAATTCAAATAAAAGAATTAGAGGATAACGTTAAGCATCTCCATCATTTATTTTGGCTTTCCTACATACAATGTGATGCTTTTAAAAGTGTTTCATCGAGATTTAATAAACATTCATGGACAACAAACAGAAAGGTAAAGAGATTGTGATCTGATGCCCCCAACCCCATCTCTCTTCAGTGCTGCTTGATTTCATGGACACTGACAATTGGACGGTCACTAGGACATCCTTTCAGCCCATACAAGAATCAGGGCAGGGTACTCTGAGTTTAATAATGACCAGACCATCATCAAAATAAGTCCCTTCTACTTAGCAGTTACCTGCCAGGAATTCTGCCCTTCACTGTAGTGCATTATTTAGTTAATTCTCAACCTCCTACCAATCCCACTAGGTAAGCTCCTGCATTTTATTAAGAGAGAAACCAAGGTTCCAAGAAGTTAAATAACTTCCTGGAGAGAGAGTACCTACTAGTGAGGCTCCCTAATGAGGGTTATCTGGCTCCAAAGACAAGTTGACAGATAACATAGAAGTAGGCTATTTGGGGCTCTATGGATAGTTTCATATTCCTCTGGCACTCAGCAAAAGAATTTTTTGAAGGCCTATTAATACAGTAAACTCTCAGTAGATAAGGTTTTGAAACTGTCTCAAATTCCAGTAGTAACATGCTACCCCTAAGCTGTGAAGACAGCTGTGTAAAAACACAGGTCTCAACTTCGCAGTGATCTATAGACTGTAAGTTTTGGGTTTGTGTGGCAGATGAGCTATGCAAATATTTCCCTCACTGAATGTAATGAACCTCTGGAAATGCAGACAGTTGTGTCTGGCTGTCTGCTCTCCTGAGCCACTGAGAAATCCGAGACACCTAGTGAAGAGCATATCCTGCCATTCATTCAATTCACATTTTCCCTCATCTGTACTACTTCTTACATTTGGATTCAGATGAAAAAGAGCTGCCAACTTTCTCTGTTTCTTCCTACCCCTCTATCTCAGTAAACTCCTCCTCGTCCTGAAATATCCAACTCAGATGTGAATTTCCAGAACTTTTCCTGATTCTTCCTGGTGGAGACCCTACACACATATCATGCCAGGTATTCTATTTTAATTACAACCAGACAATCACAAGTAAGACTGACTGAATGAATGAGAAATAAGATGTGATAAAAAAAAAAACAGATAAAACGTAGCTAAGATGCAATGAGATCTTTCCTATAATGAAGGTGTATTTAAAAGTATCAAGGAGATGTGCAGGGGAAAATAAATGAATGAGAAAGAATGAGAAAGGTTTGAGATGCTTCCCAGAGACAGTGACACATGACCCTAGCCTTAGAGGAAATGGGCTTTTATTGGGTAGGGAGAAAGAGAGCAGCCAGCTAAGGACCAAGAACCATCAAGGGCACTATGGTTGACTCCTCTTGTAAGCCATGCCCAGGATTCTGAATTTGAGCCTGAAATCACCAGGAAACCATCCAAGACTTTAATGTAGGGATAGATGTGATAGACTGACATCAAAAGATAATACTGGTTTGAAGGACAAAGGACTAGAAAGTAGAGACCAGTACAGACTAAGGCCTCATGGAAAGCTAAAGAGTAAGTTACGCAGCCAAGTACACTCACGTCAAGGCACACTGCTAAGACGAGACAACAGGTCTTCCTGACAAACTGCACAGAGGGAAAAAGGACAGGAAGGTATTGACGCTGACAGATTTCTTTCTTTCTTTTTTGGGTGGGGGGCAGGTTCTCACTCTGTAATTCAGACTTGCCTTGGACTCCCTACGTAACCCAGGCTGGCTTCAAACTCATAGCAATCCTCCACCTCAGTCGCCCAAGTGCTGGGATTTTAGGGCATGCACCTCTGCAACCGGCAGGCTGACAGATTTCTAGCTTAGGCTGATGGGTAAAACTCTGCCACTACCTGAGACAGAAAACAGATAAAGAACTTTGGGGGAGAAAGACAAATTCAGTTCTGCACTGTGACACCTACAGGACATCCAGGGAAGCTGCCAGGGAGGACACTGGAAATGGAGATATGGAGCTGAAGGGCTCAGTTGGGGTTCAGACCCACATTCTCCCAGTGAAGATAAGCTGACTCTCTGGTAGTGCATCAAAGATGCATAGACTGAAATCAAAGCCATCACAAGCTTTATTACTCACATCTTTTATTTACTGTGTTCAATGCATTGGTATCTGGGGCCTTGCTGACCTTGAGGGACTGGCCCTTCCAGAGTGAGCCAGTTCCTAGACACAGTACACAACTCACATGCTACAGACTTTCCACATACAAACCAACCAGTCCAGAGCACAGACCCCACCCACCTTCTTCACTAGCTCTCACACTCTGGGTCAGTATCATCTGTCCCAGTCACCCCAGGGCCAGGAGCTAGACCTCTGCGGAGAGCCTCTACACCCCAGAGACGGCCAGAATTATCCAAACTGGTTAATCCTAAGCCTCCTTACCTGCCTTGCCTCTTCCTCTCATGGAAACCACAATCAAGGCTCCTGCCACCCATAGTTCTTCCTTTTCTTCTCTCTCTCATATAACCAACCTTGGTACTTCCCTGTATAGTTTTCCCCTTTCTCTTGAGAACTGTAAAAAAACTGTTTGCAATGGCAGTCATCTACTGCTCTGTTGGTCTTACTATACTTCACATCTGCGGATATATTATATTTTAAAGTCCACACGCATGTGAGAGCACCCGGCACTGTGAAAACAGAACGAAAGCTGGGAGCATAGTATAGATCCAGCTGGACACTCAGTAACTGTGACTGTAGACAGTGACTTTGTCTACAATTTAGGTAGCTCTGCCTTCTGTGACTTACCCAGTTGCTAGTGACATCCAGTGAGTTAGATACTATAGACATCTGTGATTATAATAAAGAAAGGATGCCATTCATCTCTTTATTTTGATAAGACAGGGCTGGCATTGAGGCTTAGTGCAGGTGCTTTATAAATAGACCTTCGTAACCTTGGCCTTGACCCTTCTGCAGTGGTAGAGAAGGGAAGCCAATATTCTAAACTCTTAGAAAACATGTTTAAGGTGCTGCCTCAATTAATATCATGCTAGTAAGTTAGTGGATAGATTTTTACCATAGTACAGTATCTACATTTACGGGGACATTTTTTTTTTAACCTTTATATGCTACCCATAACGTTCACCACATTTATCCCTAGTAGAAATGGCAGCAGGTAAATAAATATACTCAGTATTTACTCTGTGTAAGTAATTATCCTAAATGCTTGACCTACTATTGTCTGTATACATGAGACAATCTGAGAAGTACTTCCTTATTTTATATGACAAATGTCTAGAGTCAAGGCATAAAGTAATAGTGAAAATTCACACACAAAATACAACTCCAGAGCTAAAACTATCTGGAGAAAGTAAATACAAACACTGCTATTAGAAAGCTTTTTATTCCTAATTCCCAAATGCACGTGGATTCTGCACAAGCAAAAACAGTTATTCTAGGATGTTCTGCTTTATAGAGTCTCTTCATCCCTAACTCCCATCCCCTTGATCCGACCCCCACCCAAACACTGCAGGTCCTCTGGAGGGCCTCATCTATTAAAGAACTCTCTGTGCTTCCCAGAGACTTACCCTTAAAAATTGGCGCTCCTAAAGTCACAGATTAGGTACAGTAAAAATGATGGCATAAGGAAAAGAAGCACTATCTTTTCCACTTAATTTTCCAAGAAAGTATGAAGATACCTAAGCAGAGAGGGGAAAAATTCCAGTATCAATGTGGCTGGTGGGAGACTAAAAGATCAAAGAAACACAATTCCTCCTAGCCTATAAAATAGCCAGGCAGTGGGCTTTGTCAACTCCTTGCATTGCATGAAACAAATGAATACAAATCAGTATGACCTACCGCACAGGAGACCTCTAGCCTTTTCATATGAAATACCAGTTTGTCCCACCTTTCATGTTTTTAAATTCTGTGGTCAGTGAAAAAATTCTGTTGTAATAAAGTTAAATTCATCACCATTGCTTTTAAAAATATATTATCAAGCCCATGCTAACTAATTTGAGTTCAGTTAGACATGCTTTGCCTGTTTATTTGGTGAAATAAAGACCACAGAGTCTTCATTTTTAAAAAGGCTATTTCAGTTCTTAAATATCATTATGTCATAACAAAGTCACTACAAAAATTCTTATGTAAAATGATTAACATATTTCTGAGAATACTTACAATAGCAATTAATTGGAATTTAATAGAATTCATGCTTGAGTAAGAACTCTACACAGGCAATAATCAAAGTTCTTAAAAAAGAGTTTCAAAATGTGTATATCTGCTTGGCCTTCTGTTATTAGTACTTCCTGGAAAAGGAGAAAGCTTAGCCCAACAATTTTCAAACCAGCCCACTTTTGCTA